AAATAAAGGAATTAACTCTGATCTAATAAACTCCATAGGTAGCTTTAGTCAACAAACTTTGAATATCATTCATATTCGTTTTCTTGAACAAAACGTTTCACATATAAAACATCTTGACCAAAAGATGGTTCTTTTGAAAGTACCCACTTGTGTTTTTTTTTAAATCATCTTGTATGTGTGTGTACATTTTTTTTTTTCATAATTCAGAGTGCAAGATTTTGATGTAGGCTGCATTATATGAGCTACTACCAGGATTTCTAGATTTCCCATCATTTTGATAGAGAAGAATATATGACATCCCCACACACATTCATTCATTCTAAGGGTCACTGTATTAAGCAGTATAACTTACAATGATATGTTATTAAATAAAATGAAGACAAGCATATTGTTCAGTTGAGCCATTTCATGCAGATAAAAATATTCAGGTCAAATGAAAAAGAATATACAAAAATTTCAACTGAAAATACCTTCATGTTGAAAAAATTAGCATACTAATAAAGCATAACAAAATATGTAAATCACATGTCATTAAGAGGAGATGGAAGTGACCTGCAATGATCCAGCAGCGAGGGAACTTGGAGAATAAAAATGTACCCTCACTGTGTGTTCACATGACTAAGTGGCTATAAAACTTGTAAGAGAGTAATTTTACTGCCTCTTCTCTGCCTTTGCTCACTCGATTACAGTTTGAGTGGCCTCACCTATGGAAAATTGAAAGGGGCATACTTTTAATTTGGGCTTAATGGAACATAATATGTAATTTGTAGTCATTTGTATATATAGTCAATTATTTTTAATAATTCTAGGTAGGAATAAGCTTTCTGCCAACTGTGTCAACTAACTCAGGGTTGTAACACAAAGGTTTTTACTCAGAGGTCATATTGCAAATAGAACACATCCTAAGGCCAGGACCAAAAATATGTGGGCAATGGAAGTGCAGCCAGGAGTTCACCAGCACAACATTCCTCCAACCATCAGAAACATAAATTTGTAAGTGGAGAATTCAGTCCTCATCAATGCCTGAGTGAAGTGGGATTCTCTCCAGTAAGTGAAGAGTAAAACATAGACAATAATAAATATACACTACATTTTGTTTTCTGTTTGGTTGAAATTGGTGTGTAAAAGAATCAGTCAGAATTCCTGTGTTTGTAAGACATGAACTGACAGCAGAACTATAAACAGAGACTATGTCTGACATGGTCACGTGTTTTACATATTTCAACTATCAATAACAAAAACTTAAAATTCCAATTGACTATGCTAAAAGAAAGACTGCATTTCAATTTCTTTGTAAAAGATATTACAAAATCATTGTCATATAATCAAATGTATACAGCCAAGAAATGTGGTAAAAAAAAAATTACAGAAGTGATCCAGGAAATAAATTAATAAAAATATCAAGTTTTAAGGTTATATTTGGCACACTTATCAGTCTTTTAATTTTATGAATTGTCATTTATTTTATCCTTCGAAATAAACATCCATTCTCTACCTAATTTTTGTTGGCAGACATTCTCCATGGATCTCTCATATTTCTGCTCTTCTTGTGAGCAGGGGCACTGACAGCTTTTGTTCGGGACAATCTGTTCAGAAATGTTTGTATAGTGAACAACTTTAGAAGAAGAGATCTGTCTCCCTTCAGGGCAGAGGGAGATTTGTCTGCTGATCAGTGTAATAATGACCATGACCTCCTTTTGGCAAAGGTTAGGCAGGTTTGTTGGCAGTCCTATTAATGTCTGAGGTTTCCAAGCTTGAGGTTCCTCAGCTGTGATGCAAACCCAACTGTATGCATCATCCGTTTGATCCCAGCCCCACAGTACCTGTAGGACTTGAGGACAAAAGGAACTGAGGTGAATATGAAGCTCATGTTGCCCACTGTGCTATGGATAATAAGTAATAAACTAATAATATGTGTCCCATTGTTGGTGAGAATGGAAATTGGTGCAGCCTCTATGGAAAAAAGTATGGAGGTTTCTCATACAATTAAAACTGCCATCTGATCCAACAATTCCACTTTGGGGTATTTATCCAAAAGAAACAAAATCACAATCTAGAAAAGATATCTGCACACCCATGTTCACCGAAGCATTATTTATAACAGCCAAAACATGGACACAGCCTAAGTGTCCATCAATGGATAAATTAAGAAAATGAGATACACACACACACACACACACACACACACACACACATACATACACATACACACACACACATACATAGTGGAATATTATTCAGCCTTAAAAAAAGAAAGAAATCCTGCCACTAGGAACAACATGAATGGACCTTGAGGGCACTCAAAAATGGCTTCAGGGCAAAGGGAAGGAGACTGGCTGCGGGGAGGAGGGACGGGTGTTATTGTGCTCAGGGGGTGGGCTAGGGTGAGAGCTCCTGTACGCAGGGAGGAGCTTGCAAGGTTTGAATCTCCCACCAGCACCAAAGGAGGGGCACCCAGGCTTTCTTATCAGCTTGCTCAGATGTGGGACACAGGGCAGGAGGAAGGGATGAGGCTTAAAAGATGTCAGCAGTCAAACATCAAGAATGGAGTCAAATTCTTCATTATAACATCACTTCTTTCAAAGTCTGTTGGTGACTGGTCACTGTGTGTTATTCAGTTTCCACACAGACAGCAAAGTGTATCACTGTGTCACCTCCTCATCTCCCAGTGCTAAACCCACCTGACATTTTACAAAAATAGACAGTCAAAAGAGGAAACTGGCCAACAAAGATGAAGTACAACAAAGAAACAAAAAGTGATAATTCTGGAAGTAAAATTCTAACCTACATAAATGGAATTACAGAAGAAATGGCTGACGATGGTACTGGTGACTCTGCTATCTTTCAGACTTAGAAAGGAATATAACAATTCACCATGGCATAGAAAAGATGTCCACTCCTTATTGTAAGTTATATGACAAGAAGACAAGCACTGCTCAAGCAATTCTTGATAAGTTTTCTATAAAGACTGAAAATACATTAATTCTCAATGTTTCTGACATTTTAAGTTAATGTCCTAAACAAATACTAGTTTTTCTATTTTTTTTTATTTCTTTATACACGTATGTTAAATACACTTGGGTTTCCAATAAAAATTTGTAGAAGTCATGGAACGATTATATTTTTCCCACTGATTACGAAGATCATTTTGTACTCCTTGAGCTCACATGATCATTTTCATGGTCTCTCAATGACATGCAAAGTGAGAAGTGCCTGTACTTATTTTACTTGACTGCTATGTAATATTTGCCTCTTTTGCTCATTCTCACCTTTGTAAACCACAATCCTTCCCTGTTTCTCCATAACCCCATTATCTCCAGATTCCTCCCTCACTTCCTGGAAAGAAGCCTCTCTTCCTTTGTCTATCTGATATCGGTGATCTCCAGATTCTGTCCTTGATTCTTTTTTTAACTCTACATCCTTTTCTGGTTCTGGTATTTTCTAAAAGTTGCAACTTCTCTGTCTTAGGTGGCAATGTTGGTGTTAAGGTGATAGTGAAGAAAGGGGGCCTTGCAAAATGGTAGGAAAGAATTCAGGGGGTAAAAGGTAGGATGATGGGGTGTCCCCTTTATTTCACAATCTAGATTTAGGACAGAGCCCAAGAAGCCAACTAACTTTATCAGTATGAATATGACAATGTCATTCATTATTTCACAAATATTTCCTGAATTGTACTATATGCTGGAACACTAGGTAGTGACAGATACTTGGTATAAAGCCACACATGTGGATTTTAACTGTGTCCTGTGGAGGTAGTACCTGAACCTCTGCCATTTAACCCATTAATTATTCCAGTGGAGGAAATAACTGAGCTGCTTTATGGGGAAGATATTTTATTATAGGCAAGAAGGTCTTCAGTCCCACAAGCCATGCCACATTCATCTGTCTATTAAGATAGGCAGTGCTATAAATCAGAATGGAACTAATTAAAAATCTTGAGATTACGTCTGAAGAAGTGTCTTGCTTTGTGAATCGTGGTATTCCCAAAAAGTCATGCATAAATCTGTTTCTTTAATTCCTTACATTTACACAGTGAGTTATGGTTTACAATAGACTTTTCATAAATTGTTAGTTTTTGTTTTTGTTTTTGTTTTTCTCTCTGACAATACTAAATGGCAAGAGGGGGCACTACTCTCATTCCTGTAAAAGAGCAGAGAAATCCACAGCTCAGAGTGGTTCACCTTGATTGTAAGTGGTGGAGCCGTGTTTAAAATAATCCGGCCATATTTTAAATATCCCAAGAACTGAAAAGAGTTCTATTGTGATTACCTTTGGAAAGCTAAGAAGTCTCTTATAAATGTAAACTTCCAATTTACTTCGTGGGCACTGCTAGTTTCGCAAATAAGTTTTGTAGAGTAACGTCCATACGTGGTATGCATTACTACACCCAGTTCTAAATAAAGCTGAAATTTGGTGGGTTATGTGATCATTCTTGGCAAATGTGCCAGCTCCTATCATATTTAGAACCCTGTGTCCTAAGGTTCACACTGAAGAATTTGCTAAACAAATCCTTGGCAAGGAATCAGAGCAGTGATTTTCTGTATCCTTAAGTCCTTTCAAATAGAAATGGCAAAACATACTACCTGAGTTCATAATTCCTAAATTTTTGGAGTTTCAATCTTGGAATTTCTTACTACTGTTTGAGTTCTCAATTGCTTCCCCAAAGGAGCAGGCCATTAATTTACTTTTACTGAATAGACACTTCCTAACTTTGAATAAGGCAGCAACCAGGGCTAAACATAACTGATTTCGTGTTTCCTGTGGAAAATGGAAGACACACAAGATAGGAAAACACAAAGCAGTCTACCACCCGATCCGGGGTGCTTCTACCAATAAGTGGTAGTGGTGTGCGCGAGAGCGGGTCTGGGCAGGAGCCCCGAGTTAGCCAGGTGTGACGGCGGAGGCCTGACTCGGGGACTTACGAGCTTCTTGGCAACATGGTGAGTTACAGCAGTAATTTGGGAGACATTCCTTGAGAGGGTAACAGGCTTGGGGAAGCGATGGCTAATAACGGGCACGGCGTTTCGGGACTGAGTTCAGTGAAAGCAGGGAAAGGTCAAGTGAAAAAAGAAAAATTAAGTATATGGAAGAGAAAGGGAAGACAAAAGTTCCGACAAAAAGAAGAGAGAGGGAAGAGACTGCTGGCAAGTTCAGCGGAAGTAGAGCACAAGGGGTACGAGAAAGGAACGGAGGTGAAAAGTCGGCAGCAGCGGAGGCGCGCGGGACCGGCGGTCCTCCTGCCGGCAGGGGACGCGAGTGCGCCCGGCCTCCCTCCCCGCGCGGGTCCTGCCGCCCCGCCCACTCGCCCTGCGCCTGCGCTTCCTGCCCCTCCTCGTCCGGGATGCTGCTGCCGCTGCTGCGGAGTAGCTGCTTCCCTTCCTCCTCTCCCGGCGGCGGCGGGGGGGACGCGGGCGCGGGGAGCGGTCCAGCGGCGCGGCTCTGC